GCAAGCGGATAGGCCTGAACTCACAGAGAAGAGATTTATCACAGCGGGATCAAAAAACCTTCTCAGCCAGGGTTATAAGAGGACAGGAGTTCAGAAAGATAATTAGGAGCAAGTTACTTTGTTTTCCTTTCCCCGCAGTTCATATTTTTGTCAAGGTCAATAAATAATAATTACATAACAAGTACTTAGGCCAAAAGGCTCTTTTCTGCCCTCAAACAACCCACCCCCCTAAAAGCAGGAAATCTCCGTTCGGCTTTTTGAAATGCAAATTACTGTTTTCCGTTTTCATTAGAAAATTGCTTATTTTACAGTATACGAGATGGCCGACCAGGGGCTCACACACTTATAGTTTATCCCCCCTGTACAACGTACTGCATTGCGGTATGCTGATTGAGGCCTTAGTGCAAGTCAGTAATTGATTACAGTTTATTTTCCGTTCATGCGCAGTATCGCGCGCTATAATTCACATAATGTATAAGTATTTCTGGGTTTGCGCGGGGACGTTAGTTGCCTCGTCCCCAATGTTGGATGATCGACAATCCAATTCCTGACTCGGAGAAAACGTTTGAGGTTTTGTACACAACGTACATGTATGGGGATCGGTAGCGAATTCCACGAAAGCGTACCCCAATTGATTTGGATTCCAGAGGGATAAATGTTTATTTTAGCAACCTTATAGGCCTACAGCATGTGCTGTATAGGACGCCATTGCACTCGAGAGACGTTCTTTGCTGTGCGTCGTTGATCGAGCGTAAACGATTTGAAGGGAGTCAGAGTAGATACAGTTGTCATTGTCAGTAGGGTGTGCTGTTGATATATTGGTAACATAAACCTAGGATACACTCGACAACTTTCTGACAAGATTTAACTAGTCAGTGATATTCCAGTCCACTCCATTCTGTACCAAGCTTCTAAAGACGGTATGATAACACAAACAGTCCTTACTTCGAGGGTTTGTACTGTTTCGTGTAACATTACATAATTAATTACAGGATAGAGTGAGTTGAAATAAATACATCTGTAACAATGAAACATTTTGTTCTCAGTCACAATTGACCCATCTGAGTGTAATGATCAGTAAATGTCGCCAGATCTGCAAATACGCCCCGACGTATTAAGAATACCTCTTAAGTAAAGGATGAATCCTCTCATTTGCACATTTTGAGCAATAATAAGTCGTTAAATACGTCGAACTGGGCCAATTATATTCCTCACATACCCAATGGATTTTTACTGAATTCTGGCAGGCAAAACGAGTATCTACGCGCAGAAGAGTATTATTCACGCAGAACTGTATATTTATTTACTTTAATCTCCGCCTAAACGTTTCTTGTATAAGCCGAGTTGGTGGGGGTGGGTATTAAACCGAATGGAATCCTTTAATTCTTTAATTTGAATTGAAGACATCGAATCTTTAAAATGTTGTTTCTCTTTTTGTCGACGATGATTCTCCAAGGCGTTTCTTCAAGGCAGTAAGACGCATCATTCTGAAACTTGGCATGAACGTCAATCCTGATCCTAAGGTGCACATTGCGAGTATGACGTAACGATGACGTCATCACTGCTGACAATTTCTTGACAGTAGTAATTCGTTTAAATGTATCTCCTGCACTAAACAAGGCACAGTCGACTCCCGTTAAAAGGAGGCTCTTGGGGCTTTTTAAATTAGCTTGTATTTTCCGACCCTCGTCTTATGCGAAAGCTGCTGTCTCGCTAGTCGTATGTGTCACCGATCAGCCGTAGGGCAAAGCGTACATCATGTGTAAAAATTTAATTTAGATATGACTTATGATTTTCTGATTTGCACTTTAGACAACATGTTTAAAAACTGCTTAATAGGTACTACAAAGTCTAAAGTTCTAACGGTAGGAACTTCACGTTTCGAAAAACATTAAAATAAACGTGATTATGAAATTTATTATAAATAATTGAATATTCATTTTCTTCTTCACTACACTACATTGCTGCAAGTGCAAGCTCAATGCTATCGATGCGTGGCCATGACATTATAATCGGTCACATGACACAAACTTTAGAGGCCATTATCTACCGAACTTCAAATCTTACCAGATTGACTGCAAGTACGATCGTAGCAAAAGGTATGTAGAAATAGTTGTAACGTTTACGTGGAGCAGTTCATGTGTCACATGACATGACCTTAAAGGTGCACTCTTCTAAATCAATTATCAACAGAACTTCATGTTCCTTTTCTATTTTACCACAAAAGCACAATCTCAAAGACGACAACGATAATTACATGTACATGTACAAGGGTACAAATACGCTGCGCACGTTACTCGTACAAAGGTTTGGATGAAGGTTGGACGAGTGTATTGGGCTGTTGTTTTTCTACAAGCAATCACACTGGCACCAAAGCCCCAGATTAAAATGTTTAAGTTATATTTTTTAGCCAACTAGAGATTAAAACCGTGTTTAGCATTTCGTTACGATTTTTATTATTTATTACTTGCAACATTTCTGAAAATGGTATATTTTCAAGTTTGCGTCACCCACGTAGGCTAACGCTGAATTTGTACGTTGCAAGTGACACCTCAAGCTACCTTTTCATATCAACCCACGTTGCATCTAACCTTACAGTAAATAAGACAGGAGTCGGGTTTTTTTGTTACATGCCAGTCTTTTCCATACCTAAACTTGTTGCGACTCAGCGTGTTATCGAAATTATTTTTGCGTCCCTCGTGTACAGCAGACCCTGCAGTGGCTGTAAGTTGGCATCATGTCGATAATCAAAAGGTTGGGTGCACACAGAAGAAAAAATAATGAATTTTTAAAAAGAAAAATATTTGAAATCCCTTAACTTTTGAATTTGAAGGTAAAGCTTATACAAAGCATCTTTAAGACATGAAAATGGCCCGTGAAAAACAAAACAGAAAACAGGCATTTCGGCGTCAAAAAAGTAGGCCTTACCGCAGTAGAAATTAGGCAGTGCCGCTGTTACAAATATATTGTACATCTCTGTGTCCGACTTCATCGTTTCCAATAACAATAACAGATGTGAAATAAAAGTATTACAGGTTTTACAATAAGACTGAAGTAGGGCATACGATATGTCTGCTTAGACACAACTAGCTGTAAAAAATCCTAATCCCCCCCAAAAAATGAACATCAGCGGTCTGCAATCCATGCGCTCTGACTTTCTTTTGCCAAGAGACATTCAAACAGTCCAAAGAGATGGGGGTTTTGCATTAAATAAAGAAAAAGCATCAGTATTAACGAAAGGATACCGGTATAACAAAGATCATTTACTCCAATTCAACAACCTAGTTATCTAGCTATGGCACTGAGTGTGCATGAACTTTCACATGTTCTACACTACCTCACAACGCTTGAGAGAGCAATTCAAGCACTTCGCTCGAATCAACTTCGCTCATGGGTTGTTCTCAATCTAAATATTTTCGACGTAACTGTGAAATCGCCACATTGGACAGTGACATTACAAAACCGAAAGGTGAATCTACAAAATTGACTGGCGCATGGCAGAAGGGAATAGCGAAATTACGAGTTGAATGATGAAATTGGCGAATTGAATGTCGAAAGTGGCAAATCGAATGATGAAATTGGCAAATTGAAGTAATCATCGAATGGAAAGGCGAAACAGTAGAACAATATGGTAAAGTCTACAAAGCCGCCGATGTCGTGCTACCGAAAATAGCATTCCATGTACTCGTGTCTGGCAACAGACTGCTACCTGCGATACGATTAAGGGGGCAGTGTAACGATATTATTGTTTCCCATCAGATAGGCCTTTGGTACGTATATGTGTGTGCATGCAAAATTCGCATTTGTCGCCGAAATACGCGAGAAAAATGTCACGTTCTCTTGAGAAAGTTCTGATGGATACGATCCTGTGACATTGACAGTGACGATGATGAACTCATCGATGTCGAGGATGACGGTGCGGAATCTGCTGAGGTTCGAACGAACGTGACATTGAGCTGCTATACCGGCGAGGCAGTCAACGCGTATTGTCCCCGGTACTTTTCTTATTGAAGATGGTCCTCAGGACGCTGGATTAGTATAACCAAAACCCCGAAGTTCCTTTTGGCATATCGCTCGCTTATCAGCGACCTAGGAAACCTTTGAAATCTACACCCTCTCGTGTTGACAAACTTTGTCCATGCACCGTGACGATTCAATATGTTATCGCACGGAAACCTGGAGAATACAAGATCCAGATTTTTGCAGGTATTCCTCTCATAAGGTACAAGACCAGGGTATACTTTATTTCATGACCAAACGACAAGACTGAATAAACTGAGCCGTTAATAACAGTACACAGATACAACTGACTGAATCGTGGCATGGGGCGTAAGAGCGTTGTTTGATTGTCGCCCAAAGCAAGGCATGCACACAACGCAGAGCAGTGGGTTCCATCGTCAAGGCATGGGCTGTGCACGTGATAGGCCACCGTCATATCGGTCAGATAAAACAAACTCATCTTTGCCTTGGTCAACGGTCAATAATAAGTAGCTGGGTGTTTGACAAAGGATTACAGGTTATCAACCAAAAAAAATCTGGGAAGGGTGTTGAATGTCGATAGCGTTCGAAAAGCAGTGCTTTAGTGCGGTGTCTCCCTCATGGTCAATATATCAGCAAAGTACACCTTCACATTTGCATGATTTGCGCGATGCGTCACGGTGCAATTCGAGTCTGTATGCGTAAGCTGCCCCCAGTGTTCACTGAAACTGCACAGGAGTAAAATACCGCAGCGAATGGATAAGGATACAGAATGGATCAAAAACACACATGGAAAAGCGGCCGGTTCGTGTTTTCAGCTAACGCGTAGCGATGTAAGTTAACATCATGAATCGTTTGCAGCGAAAATTGCTTGAGTTCAACTTTTGCGAATTTGCAGTACAAATATTTGATCTGACATCGCAAAATTGTGTTTGCATCCGCTTTTGGGCGAAGTGTGAACCGGTCTTTAGATTGTACAAAAGGCAGATAATCGTACAATACACAATCATACACATACCATAGCATCGTAGTCAACCATGTTCATGAAGTACGAAGTAGCTTCTCCTTTATACACATAGAACCACATGGTTCCCTGGAATTGGTCCCCTGCATCAAGCAACAGAACGTTCTCCTCCTCAGCCCGTATCTGATCAATCTTAGCAACTCGCCTCGCCACGCCACCGAAGCATTGCCCATCATCCGATTCCTTCCGGCTACACTCACCTCCATAACCGTCGAATTGTTCGAACCGGGCGTGCACATCGTTGGTGTGCAAGATGGTCAACTTGAATGTAGCGGCAGCAGAAAGGTAGCTAGCTGCTAGCATAGTGACCAGACTTAAACCTATCACTTGCATGTCGACGCTCGTCTTGTTTACGACAAATAGATAAAAAGAATCCGGCCAATGTACATTAAGATCCAGAATCTGTCGACGAAAATAATGTTGATAGATGTGCACACGGAGATTATGCTACTTGCACTTGAAAAGCTTCTCTCAATACCGGTACTCGCAGATGCATCAAGCAAAATGACACAGCAAGTAGAAGTAATACCACAATAAATGAAGATATTCACACAGTGTTGCGACAAAAAGCCAAACTCGTCACCATCACATACGGGAACATAATGGAGGTCTCACCAGGCAATCGTATCCGCGTGGTACTGGGTCGGTGACGGGACAGCAGTGTGTAATGCATTCAACTTCACGGTTCAGCAATTCAAATTTAGTCCTTATGCAGATAATGTGTGACACGAACGTCGTAGCCGACCAGTCCACAATGTCAATAAATGAATCAAGATTACGACAATAGGACGAGACAAAGGCAGCCAACAGAGGGGTTAAAAATCCGTTTAAACAGAAAAATTGGTCGAACATACAGTGCCCGATAACAGACAAATATTAATATAAACACTTGTTCAGCAGCGATATACATGTGTAACTCTACACATACTTCTTCTGCGGCGCACAGCGTGTGTTTAGTTGACATCACCCGTGTGGTCCGAGACAGGCTATATAGGCCTTTATGCCTAAATCATACCACGGAAAATGGGAAAATGTACAAAATTCTTCATGCACTACTTCGTTGAGGTATTTTCAAATCAAAAAAAGCATAAAATCAAGTACAGGCTACTTCATCGAAAACTCCATAAAATACTTTCAAACGTCGTGCATGTCAACTGACGTTACGTGCACGGTGCGCTAAAACCCGCAAGAACGAAATGTTTTCACGAATAAATTCAAAATTATGTGAATATAAAGTGTAAAACTTATTTTGAATTCTATGAATGAAATTCCTTTCCACGTACCAGGCAAGCGGATCTCACAATAGGTTCAAAGAAACAGTAGAAATTCAAATGAGATGGCCCTACAGTCCTACCGGACGCGCGCAGGCAAAAACCAAGGCTGCAATGGGTCAACATCATCTCCTACATTGAATGACCACTTTTTGTATACATGTATAGGGGTAGGGACTAGGGAGTACCACACTCGGCTTACTAGAACACTGTATAAGATGGCTGTAAATCCTCCTCAACCTGTACTTCATGGAGTTAAAATCGAACAGGTCTCCAGAGGTTTTGCGTGTTCAAAGCTTATCCAAAAAAAGGTGAGTTTGAAATGCCCAATATTATCACGAATTGCGAAGGAAATAAACTAATTCTTTGATCTCTTTGATCAGCAAATCCAATAAATAATGTTAAGCATCATTTGACCGATGTTTTCAGGTTGCAGGCTTATTTTCAAACAAATATTTAAAGAATTTTAAACAATTTCACAAAGTGATTTTTTTTGTTTTTAATTAATGTGCCCGTAAAGAAACCATCCTTTCTGTCAATGAACTTAACCACAAACGGTTTACAAAGTGTGACCTTATTTCAGATCACGATTAAATAGAACATACGTGTGAATGAACAATTTCGGGGGAACGATAAGATTATATTTTTTTGTAAATGTTGATAAATAAACTAAGATTAGACACTTTTTGAATTAGTCTGCACGAAAGACAGAGGCTTAAAAGGAAGACTCCTCTATATATCCGTCTGTTGTAGAACTTCGCAAGAGTACAAGTGTTAGCCCAGTCCGCAGCGGGCCTCATCAGGAAGTACATTGTTTAGTGACACAGCTGAAGCAAGCGCAGTTGAAGTTGACTTGGGAAGACAACTGTTTCTCTGATGCAAGACATTGGGCTTACGTCTCCATGCCGATGTTGGCTGACCAACTGCCATCATAAAGGTGCACCTTGGTAAATAGACATAAGAGCCGTCCACCGAGCTCAACCCACTAAAAGTTGAAAGGAAAATGAAAGAGGACATGTCGAACATCGTTTTTTCTGTGCAGCCTGAACACCTGTAAGAGTTGTGAGTATTTTTTAAAATATTTATGAAGTATGAGGATTTATCACTGCTGTCTGTGGGAATTTATTTGCTGTGGTGCACTAATAAGTCAAGTTGGCAAGATGTTTCCTTGCCAACGTCGGCAAAACATTATAATACCTACGTTGGATGTTAGACTGCATTGGAATGTGGCCGACGTCATGTGGTGGAAAAGTCGGCCACAATCACCCGACCGACGTTGACAGAAAACCTAAAATAACATTGGCAGCGCGTATCACGTTTACAAATATTGTAGCAAGAAATGACACATGGGCGACCTGTGTGTACATATTTTTATCTCCAGCGCAGCACGCGATTCAAGAATGTCTGTCTCAAACGAAACTGTTTGGATCAACTGAAGTCCATCCTAACATTGTTTGGTTCAGCACGACTAGTGGACGCCATGTTACTCCCCCGTATAGCACTGGCATCGATCCAAATAAATTACCCAGCTTAATTAAATACTTTGCCAGACTTGGAGGGGGCTTTATCGATGAATGGCCTAATCCTTGAACGGTTGAAGCCACATTACCATTGTAAAATGGCAGAGATGGTTCGGTGAGGTGCCTTTTTAGACCATTTTATGGTCAGTTAATGGGCCCAAAATTGTCTGCGCAGACCCAATCAAGATTGACATGTGACCTAGTTCTCAGCTATTTTGTGACGCGTAGATTGGATGGTTTGTCACAAAGACGGGTGAAAGCTATTCATATCGAGTAGATGCAACCCCTCATCAGTTCGGAAGGGCCCAGTTGGTTGGGAGCTTTCATTCGACGCGACCTTGAAGCGTGCATAGTCGTTCGTGAACCAAGGAAGTATCGTACATCCGGTACGCTTTTTTCCTAATTATCATAAAATGGGCGTATCTTAACCGTTGCACATTTGCGTTTTTCATCTCGGAAGGTTAGGGGAAATTATATTAATTTGGGTACACGAAGTCTGTTAGAAGACCGTTATACTTAGAATAAACAAGCCGAGAGTTCGAGTGAGTCTACATGCAGTATTTCGTTTTATTGGTTGGGAATTAGTTGGTTGGAGGATGTTTTACAATAGGAAAGAACAAGCCCGAAATTTACCTTAGCACTTAAGTTTGTAAGTGCCCACTAACCTGACCGAGCTTGCAGTTAACCACGCCCTTATATGATAAATACCCCTAACTTTCCTAGGAAAAAATTACGCATCCGGTACCACAGGATCCTCCGTTGCTAGAAATCAGCGCAATCTCTTGGTCCAGCTCGAGGTTCATTAACAGGACTCCCGGCTTGTATTTCTGGAAAATGTGGACAAAACGAGGCTCTCAAAATGGCTCCAGTTTGTAATGGCAATAGTCGTCACGAACGTTTTCAGTGGTGATTATCTCTGGATAGCTCATCTTCAAAGATCATGTTTAAAGATTAGGAAATCGAGCTTTGATTTGACGCCCGTTTTCAAAGCCTAAGAATCTTGGAAGGCTTAATACTCACTTTTGGCAGCTTTTTGGTCTACCACCTCAAAAAAGGCCCTTCAAAATCTTACACGGTTAAACCCACAGGGCGAATGTGGATAAATCTCGTGTCATCATGGTGCATATCAACCGAATTGTAGGCAAATTGGACAGCAGTCTGACGAAGAAACAGGTCGGGAGGAGAAGCAGGACAGGAGAAGCAGACACCGCGTTGGCTTTTAAGCTTTCTCGTAGCTTAAAGACGGATAAAATTCATTTTTTTATGGCGACTTATCCAAATTCTGTATACCTTGATTAGCCGAGAGCGCGTCCACTGACACAATTTTTTACATTTTTATTCAGTGTGCCAACGCTCACACGAGACAAACCTATGCAGCCTCGTTCTGAAAAACTGCTATATTGATGGCATCAAAAATAACATAAAAAACGGCAATCCCACAAACTGTTCGCATTGTCAACTCATTCAATCTCGTATGATTATTCGTTTTTGATAAACTTATGATTATTGTATTTAGTAATGTTTTATATATTTTTAAATTACACATAATGTAATCCAATCACTGTAAATTTTCGAATTTGTGTATTGGAGATTTGTAAACCGAATGAAATAGATAAAATAAATACAATACCTTGGATGGTACCCACACTTGTGTTTTGGCGTACAGCATAAGCCTTTATCCATCTTTGAACCAAGGTTTTGACCACAAATGGGAAAGGGTAATGATGGTCGAAAATAGTCAGGTGCGCTTTTGACGGGCCAATTCAACGTATTGTCGTCGCTATATTTCTACACTCAGTTGGTAAAACAAAGAACATGGAATATTGATTTACTCATCTGACGGTAATAATAATAATAATAATTGAAAATTTATAATGCGCTGTTTCTATAAAAATGATCAACGTCGCAGTACAAGTTAACTTAAACAATAATTAATTTAAGAAATGAAAGGATGAGGATAAATGAATAAGGATAAACGAATGAATGTCACCGCGCCAGTACCCAAACCGCAGTATGGGGATACGTCTGCCCCGCCAACAGGGAGAACCTAACCCTGCTGGCATCGGTGATGTCTCAATCTTTCCCGGGGACAGACGCCTCTAACCCTATCTACGATAAAAGAAAAGTAATTATACCAGACATGGTGACACTAAAATAACGAATCACAGCTAAACCTACGTTAAAATCAAAAATAATAATAAACCTACTAGATAAGATTATTAAAATCATGAATCGTGCAGTGCAATATATCACTGTACAAATGCAACATTGAAAAGGTAAGTTTTCACTTTACATTTGAAAACGGCAAGGCTTTGCTCGCACCGTATATTCCATGGCAAGGCATTCCATAATTTAGGAGCAGCCATTGCAAATGCCCTGTCACCAAGTGTGGGTAGCATTTTACCGGTGGACTTAAAGAATGCCCAGAATCAATGGGTGGGGCGTTAGAAAAATACTGACTGCTTTTAATGTTGCGCTATTGTAAAATCCAGCCTCCCAGAATCCTGCAGCTCCTTGTACGGATCACCTTCACAGACAATAGTTTTCATTACAGCATTCCAAGCAGACAATATTTTGTATAATATGGATTTTCTTTCCTTGCGTCAGTGTATCATGTCGTTCGGAATTTAAGATGCATGTCGTTTATTGCGGAATTCCAGTTAGAGTGGCAAACCAGGGGACTCCCCTTGAAGAAACACATGCCGAAAGAACTGACATCGTGTCCCTATGCTGAAAAATCGGCGGAAGGCGAATCCAAGTGAGGCTCCCTGCGAACGATCTCGCGGAAACCACGCAAAAAATACGCCAGACGCTCACTAGGCGGTTCATTTATTATAAGGGAATCTGGTTGTTCTTGGGGCAAGTATTAAATTGGGGAAACTCGAGTGCAATTTCATTTTATCTGAGCGAAGAAATTTCACTCGAATTCGTCAAACTCCTTTTAGTTTCAGTCGGAGGGAGTGAATTCACTCTTTGGAATTTGGAGAGCGTGTCAAAGTATTTTAGCTTTCCACTAAAATATGCCTCGTGAACAAAGCCAATTTT